GCTTGAGTTCTTATCTTCCATAAAGTTCTCTTCACCCCAACATGGTTGGTGTACATAGTTTCACATTGTCTCTGAATACAATTTAACTGACTAGGTGAATTCTTATCTTCTCCTTGTGAAGATCCAACCTTTGTTGTCTCTTATTCTAACCTTTCCACTACCTGCTATAGTTCCTTAATTTCTGTCACAAAAGCTTACCCAATCTTTCTTCTTCAGGAGTTTCTTCCTGATGTGCATCAAGTTAACTAGATTCAGCTTCTGTTCCTATGATTTGATGACATTCCAATAGCGTTGGCGACACAGCAAAGTTAGAGGAAGCTAGAACGTTCAGTTGTTACCTCCAGAGGATGCATGAGAAAGGAAGTGTGTGATTTTCGTCATTGGTGCATGCTGCCCCAAGTCATAAACTGGCCTCTACTCAACTATGAGACCTCCATCAGTCCATTGAATACCTCAGATCGGCATCTACTCGATTATTACGCCTCCGTTGGCCCTTACGTGCTTCATATTCGATACTTTTGTACTTGGGTACTCCACTCTGCCTGTATCTGTGAACTGATCCATATTTCTAGCATTGTATAAATATAAAATAGTAGTGAAAAACACTTCAAAAATCAATGTATAATACAGAATCAGTCGGCTGTCAATTGTGTTCAGCAACGGTGTTTTAATTTTTATTGTGAGAGTTTTGAGCAACTTATTTGTGATGAGAAAAATTAAGACGGGTTTTTATCACAAATTATCTCTTTATGTTTTGCTAACTCAACAGTTTGGTCATTTAGATTTTGGAATCTTAAATAATCCATGTGGCATTATGTAATTGGTCTTGGGGGTCAACTATATATTATGAAAATTTTATTTGTCAACTATACTATATAGAGGATAAAATAACTACAATGTTCTTAATACTTTAAAAGGTTTAAATGTAACTTTAGTAACTAAAGGCGGCATTATAATTCCAGTTTACGCACTCCCTCTCTGTCAACAGAAATTCTGGTTTGTGTCGCACCTAAGACCTCCTCTTTTACGAGAACAACTTGTATGGTACGAGTTCATTGCTACAGTGTTGCGTCTCATGCCAATAAGACAAGGACATGTGCAAAAAACTAACACATGTCCTTACATTATTAACATGAAACGCTACGTGACGGTGAACCGTTGCCATGCAATTCCTTCTCTTCTTTCATACCCTAATTGTTCTGTCCTTTTATCTCTATTCTCGTGTAGAAACTATCTCACATGCATAGCATGTAGCCTCACTCTAGTATTTGATGGTATGGAAATAATGATTTGAAGTTGAGCGCACAATCTTTTTTATTCTCTCTATGTGTTGGTAAAGATGAAAAAGTCGCGAATTGAAAAAATAATTCTTTTTTTCTCCTATCCCTTCTTAGTAAGTATACAAAAAATTCTTGACAAACGATAGGATAATTTATCATAATTATATAAATTACAGAGAGAAGAATTCGAACATGAAAACTTGAGTGCAAAGAAAAATCATTTAAGCAATAGAGCTACAAGCCACTTGCAATAAGTAAACATTGTTCGGTTACTCCTTCCTGCACAAAATCTCCAGGCAGGAAAAGGAAACAAAATTAAGGCCAATAAAAACTCTACAAGAGCTCTCCCACCACCACCTTCATGCGCACGCAATGTGCTAGCAGAGGAAGAAAAAAAAAAAAAAAGGGTAAATATTGTGGGCTAGTGGGGTTTGAACTGTACGGATAGGAACTAGAATAACTGTCTATAACTGCCAATTCAGAGATGAGTCCAAAGTAACCGCCCTTTGTTGCCCTACAAATTCTGAACCCACTCCGACTGTTGAACTTTTTTCCTCTTCCCCCATTTTCTTGTCTCTTCTTCCACCAAATCCACTCATCTTTTACAAGAAAACAGCACATTTCTCAATGAACAACTCTCCCGACATCGATTTCCGATTCCCCATATCCCCTCCAACCCACCAAGACGCCGTCGTTCCCGCCGCTCTCGCCACCACCACTGCCTACTTGGCTTCATCTTCTTCCACTTGTTTCACTGCAGACGATAAAACCCACCACAATCGCAGGAAGAAACGCTCCAAGCTGATCAGGCTCGACAACCAGGCTGCTCCGAACAAGGTTTTGAGGCCCAAGTATGCGACAAAACCCGACCCATCTGCCCCAAAGATCACGAAACCCTGCACTGAGTGCGGCAAGACGTTCTGGTCATGGAAGGCTTTGTTCGGGCACATGCGGTGCCACCCCGAGCGCCAGTGGAGGGGCATTGACCCACCGCCAAATCTGCGGGTGCCCGCTTCACCCAACATCACGTTGAGCAAGTTGGGATTGGCCATGGGTGAAGAGGACCACGAGGCCGCCTCGAGTTTGCTAATGCTTTCCAGTGGGATTATTTCTGGGACAAGTAATGAGATCATCGTTACTACCGCCGCTACTCAGAGTGTGAGTAATAATAGTAATCTCCAAGGTATACAGGAGGTGTTTGATGGTGGTAATAGTAACAATAGTGGTAGGTTTGAGTGCTCGAGTTGTAAGAAAGTGTTTGCGTCCCACCAGGCGTTGGGGGGCCACAGGGCAAGCCACAAGAATGTGAAGGGCTGTTTTGCAATTACAAGGAGTGATGGAGAGGTTGATCAGGATCATCATCACCACAATGAAGATGGTGATGGTGATGGTGATGGTGATGATGATGTGATGGATGAGGATCACATGGAGTTGGTGGGATCATCAGCAGGGCACAAGTGCACTGTTTGTTGGAGGGTATTTTCAAGTGGGCAGGCATTGGGAGGGCACATGAGGTGTCACTGGGAAAAGGGGGAGGAGACCCAATTAGAGTTAGGGTTAGGGTTCAACCTGCAGCAGCCTTATGGAACTTCAAAGGAATTGTTATTAGGTCAAAATTCTGGTGGTAGTGGTGGTGGGCTGGACTTGAATTTGCCTGCTGCTGCTGCTTCTACTTCTCACACTGCAGATGATCAGTACTGCTCCTCTTCTTACTCTTTTTCTGGACTCACTTTGGATTTAAGGTTGGGTCTTTGAATGAATCTGATTTAGTGTATATGTATATGTATATGTGTGTCTTGGAACATAATTAGGTGATTTATTTTGTAACAATTGATATTTGACTTGGAAGATATATATGTGTATTGTAGTTAAAGTACTTGTTATTGGCTCCTCAATTGGGAGATTATATATAAATTAATATTGTGGTTTACAGAATACCTGAAAAGACAGCTTTATATTTATACGCATAAATTACAAATTATCTGAGTTTGGTTTGTATCAATGCTTGTTATTCTGTTCAACTTTCAACTTCAACTTTGCACCTTCTTGCTAGTTTGGTTTGTCATTTGCTTTGTGTTGTCCACTGAACTACAGATTCAACTCTGGGATTGAGTTACAAGCCATGTTGCGTATAATTTCAGTAGTTAGACCTAATTTCTGAGCGGCAACCGGATCGATTTGTAGCTACAAGCTGTCTAGGACAAAAACAACCAAGCATTATCCCTCTAAGCGAGGTCACTGTATGAACACTAGAACGCCACTACGCTCAGTTTTGCACCAAGTCTTCCGCTAGCTTCAAGTATTCTATATCTTTTCTTAGTCTCTTTCAAAGTCTTCCTAAGTATTCATATACCTTTTTGTCGTGAGCATGTTTCATAATTGCATCTTCTAACTGGAGCATATGTAAGTCTTCCTCTACAAGCTGTCTAATACAAGGACATCTAGTCTGAAAATCAGAAGTTCAGACGTTACGGCTATTGAATCAAATTGGCAATTGTGTTCCATTCCAATAGCTAAGTTGGTTAGGAAGCAATTATTAAATTGGTGTTTTTGAGTTAGGTCTTCTTTGGACACTTGAATATGCAGCAAACTGATTAAACCATGAACTTAAACTAATGGATCCAGATTAGGGTATTTAGCCCAAATGTTTTTTATTTTTTAATTTGTTTTATTCACTTCCCTTATTCCTAACCATGCTTCTTTTTCAATAACGCAAATCTTGCCACATCGTCATGTACTTTCCACAGTGAAAATTCCACCTAGACTGACACTAATAAACATATATTTAACTATAAGGTTAAAGTATCAATAACATCAATAATATCGACCACTTATCGATAATCAATAACACAAAAAATGCGACCCAATTATGTTGCATGACCCAAGATTCTCTTGCAAAGGTGAATGATAACTATATTTTTAATGACACTCAAAAGTATGATTTAATCATACAACTATGTTATAAATGATTTTATGCAGTTATAATTAAGCAAATCTGTACTTCCTGTTTACAAGAAACGGGACACTCAAATTGATAAAAAGGAGACTTCTAAAGATGCATGGGAAATTAAAAAATAACCTAAATTTGAATCTTATATAGGATTATAGCCACCTTTTTAAGTTTATGATAACTATAACAAAAACTTGATATAAAAATACCAATATGCCTCTAATGACTAAAACTTCCTATATGATACATACAAGCTCCGTGATGTGCCTCTAAAAACACGGTTTGCACAGCTTTACTGATGCTTCCATGCCGATTAGATACTAACACCAAGTCCGTTACATCTCCAATGGCACCCTCTCAATTTTGTAAGAAATCATGTCCATGAAGCATCATTTTCCAAGTCACCCACGCCAAATGCCAAATAATATATTTGATTTTGTCCATCGTGGCATGCACCGACAAATAAGGTGCCAAAAAGTGTCCCATCAACTAAGTTTTTTGACGGTTAGGAGCAAATGACGAAGTTTTAAGTTATTAAGGGATTATCATAAGCTTAAAAGGATGACTACAATTCTAAATGCTTTCTCCACATTGATTTGTCACAAATCATACGATTGCGTTCAAGTTGTAAAACCAAACTTTCACATAAACCTTGGGTTTAAAATATAGACAGGCCCACCATATTTTGGGCCCAATGCACATCTGAGGACAGAGCCCAATACACAAACAAACAAGTATAAAATTAGAAGCTGCACCGCGGGAACAAAGCATTGAGATAGCAGTTGACAAATTTACCCATTTAATTATATTTTTCAACAGTTACAATTCAATACTTTCAGCAGCTTTGGCTACAGCTGATGTAAGAACACTGCACATACGGCAACCCAAATTTTACAGACAACTTGCGGTGAATACAACCAGGAGAACCAACTGCGGAAAAGGTCGGAACCAGTGGAAAATAAACTAGCAGGCACACTTTTATCCAGCTGCAATTTACCGATTAGCACAATCTGCTCCTTCTTCCTTGGTGTCATTTCAATCCTCCGATCAATCTTCCTGAGTTGAGGGCACTTTAAACTGCGTCGCAGATTTCCCCAGAACATTCAATCGCCCAACGTGCTGCAACTCTTTTGCTGCAGTAATGGGAGATGTAAAGAGGAATGTAAGAGAGAGTTTTTGTGCTGCGTCCAGACATTCAGGGCGGTATAATAGGAAAAATAAATAGAAAGCTTGAAAAGTTGATACGTAACCACCATCTCGCTACAACAGTTATGACGACAAAAGGAACAGTCATGATTACCAGTTATGACATGAAACATTATGCTTTCAAACGAATCATAGAGTTTTTAATGATAAAGAGTAAAGAGTAACGGATTATTTTGAAAAAAGGTAAATGCCACGTATTTGGACGACTGCACTTACATTGAAGTACCAAAACACAAATCCACCCAAAAGAGGTCGATAAAAATACCATCCATCAGTTTAGTGGATCTAAAAGTGATAGCAATTCACAGATCACATACATTTGTAACCTAACTCATTGACAAGAATGAATAAGGCGCAAGCTGCCTTGCAAGGTTTGTCATCACCAACTCACCAGTATCATGTGGGCGCTACAATGGCCAACTCAATGGATGACTTAATTTTTCTATGCATGAGGATAGGATAAAAATATCATCTTGCTTACAGAACCTGGACAAATATGTGTGCCATGCGCCATGTGGACATAAACATCTCTACTTGTTACCTTAAAAGAAGAAGAAATTTAGAAACTTACTGATTATTATTGTTTAAATCATCTTCATATAAACATTCTCTTTTATCCTATTACACAAACAACAACTATGGCAAAACATATTAGCTACCAAACATGTGAAAAACTTTGAGAATTTTGAGAAACCAAATAGCAGACACTGAAGGTGTCAATGGTTATAAAAGAAAGTCAACTGACTATTTATTCACAATGTTGCTAAAATAGGTAGGACCACGGTACAAGATCATTTCAACCAAAATAACCTGTGAATCTTCACAGATTAAGTAGACAGATATTTTGCAGATTTGGCAAACATTTGCAAGGTAAAAATCTTGAAAGCAGGTCATAGATTTCTTAATCTATATTATAGCTAACTTTCCCAATGTGGAGTTACACAAAGACCATGATAATTATATTTGTAGTAAGACAATAAAACAAGAATTTCCATTTTAACATCCTTTTAACTACAATAGATATTTAAAAAACATAAAAAGAAGAGAATCACATTACCTTCCTCCAGTGAAAGTTGAATTGATCTCTTTTCCAACTCAACTGCAAGTCTGCTCAGTTCAACCGAGGAGAGCGACCGCAGCACTAACAGATAATCAAAATCCAAAGGGTAAGTCAGTACAGTTACAATTTAAGGAAATCCAAACAAAACATATTAAGGTGGATTTTCTCAATTCAAGTGCGTACTCTGGATATAATCCTCATGTTCTGATTGGTCCAAGTTCCTCAATAGCAACTGCAATTGATGGAATCGCTCTTCCCAGTGCAGATATTTTAGACCCAATGAACAAGGCACTGTAGAAGAAGTATGGGGATGACCATTGGCTCCTGCTGGTGGTAGTCCAGTACCAGACTTACTAGGCAGGACCGGAACTGAAGGTTTTCCAGGCGGAATGGTTGAAGCTGCCACTGGAAAAGGTGCAAAAGCCGGCACACAATAAACTTTTGTTTCCTTTGTTTGGGGTATGGGTCGGGTGCTTGCCTCATGGTGACTAAGTTTCCTTGACACCTGACACTCAGCATTAATGCTTGCATTATCACATGTACTATTTCTGACTGCATCTGCTTCAGATTTTCTACGAACATAGACAAGCTGCGCATTTGCAGCACTGCTACTGGGGGATTGGTGTTGAGGAGGGCTCATTGGCTGCTCAGGTAAAGGTCTCTTGATGCCCGAAACTCTAGGGGCATTACTAGGGGGTCTATCCTTGGGCACATTTTGCAGATCTCTTAACACTGTCTTCTTTACAGGAACTGGCTGTTGTTTATCATGAATAGACGACTCAGATTCTGTAGTTCCCATCCCATATTCACTGACTATAGAATCTATGGTTTGCTGAACCATCTGAAGTAATTGACCTTGTGACGGAAAAACCAGTAAAAATTAGAAACAAAATAGTAACCCGATGATTTACTAAATCCAACTTATAATGGGAAACTAAAACAGACAAGCTTATTTGTATGAGATCGCCAGAGCACGACAAACGAAGAATGTTCTTGATCGGAAATTCTCTCCTACAGACCCTAATGGTGCGCATAAGAGACTAGATCGTCATTGACATAGGTTGCAAAGTAGTACACATAGCTAAAACCTTTGGGAGAGTTCATCTAAGCACAATACTACATAAGTAATATCTTACAAGAGGTAGTTTGACCAAGTGTTCATCCTCTGTAATTATCTACACAGGAGTAGAAAACTACTATTTCTAAGACAAGAAGGTGCTAATAAGTGCATTATAAATAAACAAATAAGCAAAATCAGCAAAAACATTAAATGTTGTATGCTCAACATTTTATCTCCCTCGTTCTTTCTTGGCGGGAAAAACTCAATTTTGGTATTGTAACCTAAAATTGCATTGCAAGTTTATTTTTAACTTACTTACATGGAAGACCCAAACTCAAGTCTCATAAAAACACCAATTTTGCTTCCAAATACCTAACAAAGCATACTTTTTTCACACCAAAAGCAACTTAAAGGCTAATGAATGATCAACTAATTTGCTCTATGGATGCGTTTTGATTCCTCTATCTAATTCCGGATACTTTGAGACAATTATCCATCAAAGAAACTACCCTTATCCAACTGGGCAAAAACATTAAATGTTGTATGATCAACATTTTATCTTTCTAGTTCTTTCTTGGCGGGAAAACTCTAAGTTCGGTATTATGACCTAAAATTGCATTGCAAGTTTCTTTTAAACTTTAACAACTTACACAGAAGACCCAAACTCAAATCCCATAGAAACACAATTTTTGCCTCCAAAATTCCCAACAATGCATACTTTTTTCCACACGAAAAGCAGCTCAAACCCTAATGAATGATCAAATAACTTGATCTATTCGCACATTTCGATACCTCTATCTAATTCCGGAAACTTCAAGACAAACATGCATCAAAGCATTACCCTTACCCAAATCACTGCATTTATGCATGAATTTATCGATTTCGAGACATGGGTTCTACTAAAATCGAAAATTAAGCAACACCCATTTGATCAATTTAACTTTAAAATCAAAATCCATACGAAAAAAACCACATGCAATTGAAATTTTATTCATGTTCTATCACCACAACACCTAACCAAAATAAAAAGACCAGAACAGCGAATGATTCGAAAAAGAAAAGGAAGACGTTGATCGAGAAAAAGCAATGGAAGGTGAATGGGAAGAGCATTTACCTTAGCTCATTGGAACCGCTCGAAACATATAAAGGAAGAAGGGGTTTCAAAAGCCAGAAGCTTTGGCTCTCTAACAACGCAACGAATTTGTAGTCCGGTCCCTCCGTTATGTTTACTACTTTTAGAAAGTTTGGAATTGGTCCTAGAGTCTTTGGATATTTAATTTTCACCCCAGAAGGACCAGATTGTCATTTTCAACAGAAGCCTGTTGGGCCTCAACTTTTATTTTGGTTGTATATTATTGGACTTAAGTTGTAGCTTAATCGGTTAAAAAGTCTTCTTCATGCATCTAAAATCTCAAATTTGATCCCCGCTAGTATTAGGTTAACACAGATAAACACCCAAATTACAGAACAAAGAGAAATGATGAAGGATCTCATCGCCATGTTCCCCCTACACAAGGATACTCATGTAAGGGTACTATTTATAACGGCAGTATACACGTGTCAAGTAAATTGTTTTCCTAAATCAAGGCATTGAAATTTGAAACCATTTATTTAATTAAAATGTGCACGTATACATGAACCAGAAAGCACTTTTGTATACCAAAGCACTTTTCAAGCAAACATGAGTGAGAGTAGGATAAGCAGGTAAACAGTTGGGGCAAGGCGTAAGCTTAGCCACAAGTTCACGGCTGTATCATCATCGTGTGTGTTGTTGCTTATCCACACCCCCAAAATGTAATCTACAAGTGCCTGTATGTCTTGTGTCTTGAGACGACTTCACTCCAAGTTTTACTAATTTTACACGTCCACAAGAAAAATAATCCCAATTGAATAAATATAAAAACATGAAGCCGAGTAAAGTTACGCCCCGGGATTCCCTAAAAGTCGCTCCACCGCAGCGTGGACGTTCCCAGAAGTGGCTTGCAATGCCCTGATATTCTCTTGGGTATCGAAGAAACCCATTTCTTGAAGCTGCCTTAGCTGATTTTCATACAGCTCTTCCGGTGGTACTGCAACCGCAAAGACAAATGTTCAGAGACAACATAGCAGTTGATTTAATTCGACTTCTTATGACAAAAAGTTGAATTCATAAAGGGTAAGATGTATTGAGAATGAATAGGGAGCCCAACCATTAGGGTTTGCAGCGGCCAAGCTGCCGGCTCCAAGACCTCCAAACATGTTCATCAGCATCTCCAACCCAGCATTATTGGGTGCACCTGATTATACATTAGAAATTAACAGAAGTGAACACCCAAAAGGAGAAAATTGCAAGAACCCGTAATTATATTTGAACTTCTTTATTATCAATGTACCTGTAGCACCACCAGTGAGAGTTGGATCCCTGGCAAGAACGCAACAAATGATTAGTAATAAAGTTAACATAAGAACAAATGATTAGTATTGTTCTGTTTCTTTTTCAGTGGCCAAAACTCCTAGTTGAGATGAGTTGGCACACCTCCATGGACATAGAAATAATTTAGGGGTAAATGATGTATATCTATTTAGACACAAGTATATTATGAAATCATTGACACCTTAGAAGGATGCTGTATTTAGACAGAAGTATGAAGTAGAAAACCAATCAGATAACGACAAAATGTAACTACAAAATTTGAATGTGGAAGCCAAGCAGGCATGGTAAGGTCTATTAGACTCACTGAGTTGGTTGCTGTCGATTGCCTGAAAATAGCGACTGCTGTAACGCGAGCATTTGCTGCGAGATGAAAAGTCAGAGCATGAAAAAGATTAACGTTAAAGATTTGTGGTTCACAAGCCAAACAATTTCTGTGTTCTTAGGGACAGCATGTCTAGATTAACAAAGACATACAGATCCGTGCAGGAAATGGGGAAAATTAGCAAACTTGTGAAAGGGAAAATACCTGCATTGTTTCAGGGTTTGTTAACTGCCGCAGTAGCTCTGGATTTTGCATCATTTCTCTAAATTGAGGATTTGAATCAACCATTCCTCGTAGTTGTGGATTCAGAATCTAAAGTTAAACATAATAGAAACATTAAAAAACATCACTTTCTGAAAATGCTAACATCTTGGGTGAGGGAAACTTTGTCAAATGATGGTACCTGATTCATGTACTGGGGATTGGAAAGCATGCTTTGCATCATTTGTGATATCGCTGGATTCTGCAAAAGCTGATTCATTGCATTAGCATCTGGCATGCCACCAAGCATCTGTTCCATTCCGGGGAGACCAAGACCTCCCAGGTCAGCAATACCGGCTGCCCTTCCATCCCCAACAGGATTTGTCCTGGTAGTATTTGGCTGATTTCCTCCTAACAATTCAGATCATGATATATCAATATGGTTTTCATAATATATTCAAAGAACCTATTCTTTTAAAAGATAAAATCTATAAAATTAAAATAAAAACAAAAACAAGAAAAACTCAAAAATAGAACAGAAAAAGGCCTAAGTTAACCTAATAATCAATTTGAAGGTCAACAGTAACTGAATCCGCATCAAACAACCAACTGCATTTACTAAAGACTCTTATGCAACGATTTAAATAATATTATGCAGACTTGAACATAAACTTCCAGAAGGGTGCACAAACTGAGAACATCTACATACCCCATTAAAAATGAGAGGGCCATATCATGCTAAAATTTCCACAACTACAAATGTAACAAGTGTTGGAATTGACAACTAAGCATAATGGTGTTAAGATTCAAGACCCAGCAACACATTTGCGTAACCAAGACTATCTCCAACAGCAATATCAGTCCTACTTTCAGGATAGAATTTAGTGCCGATAAAAATATTATACTTTCATGTGAAGTCTCTTCCATTTAAGATCCACAATTTGTCAAGAATAATAAAATTAAAACACCATCAACAAAACTAATATTTGGAAAATAAGGAACAAAGAGGGAGAAGCTCACCACCAGCAGCGCCCCAAGGGTTAGGAAGTGGGTTTGTATTAGGAGCAACAGAACCTGCAGGTGTTTCTGAGCCAGTGGTTGAAGGGTTGTTAGACCCATCCCGGGCCTGTGCCCCACCCTGGTTGGCCAAAAGAGCAGAAAATGGATTTGAACCCAAATCATTTCCAGCATTCCCAGTTGTAGCATTCAAAAATGGCTCCTGAACGTTTTCATACATCCGCCTCAGCATGTTGAATCCCTCAGGAGAAGATTCAATGTTACTCATTGCCCTGTCAGTGTTTCGCATCATCTCACGCATGAGTTCAGGGTTCCTTGCTGCTTCCAATGTCTGTCGGAGAATGCCAGGATCATTAAGTACATGTGCAAGCTCTGGGTTCCGGTCAATGATATCACGCATTTGCGGATTGTTCATAATCAAGCCACGCATCAAATCAGGGTTATTCATCAAACTCTGAATGGCAGGCATGTTCATTATGTCCCTCATCATGTTCGGGTTCTGAGTCAGTTGCTGCTGCACTTGTTCAAATTCCGGAAGACCAGCTCCAAATAACCCCTGTCCTCCACCACCACCGAGTGGGTTTAAACCCTGCCCAAACAACAAAGATGCCCCAAGGTCAGGAGTCTGAAGCCCCTCACGCTCAGTGGAACCAACACCGCGAGTAACACCTGGAGCAGTTGTAGGACTAGCAGAAGTAGCATTAGCAGCAGGAGGAGCGGGGGTTGATGCAGGTGCAGCAAAGGCACGGACCATGTGAACAGTATGATCTGCCTGCAGACCTTCAACACAAGAAACCAACCATGGATTAGATTCCAGTAAATCACCCAAAACATGACATATGGGCACTTTCACAACCATTGACAGCATCCAAATCCAACTATCTCACCCCCGAAACATTCATCGATAAACCACAAAACCCAAATCAATTTTCCCAGACAAATATAACAAAATTATAAGCATATTTCGACAAATTTACACAAACCCACATCACAATCAAACCCAGATTCGATACAAAATACAAATTAAAAAATCGAAACGAGCAGAGAAAGAAATCGAGCGTACCATAACTAGTGAGGGTCTGGTCGTCCTTCAAAATACGACCTTTGTAAATCAACCTCTGCTGATCAGCTGGAATATCGCAATTCTGAGACAAAACTTCCTTGAATGCCCCAACAGTCGAGTCCAGGCTCGCCCTCACCGAAAACTTGGAACCATTCGAGCATCGAATGTTAATCTGCTCTCCTCCTTCTCCTCCTTCGCCACTGACTTTAGGCTCGCTGGAATCGCCCTCCCCACCCATAATTGTCTCCCACCCAATCGATCGATCGCAAGGACGAATGAATCGAAAACCCTAACCCTAGAAATTACGAAATTGAAATCGATGCCTCTGAAGTGAAAGGTAACAGCCCAGAAAAATTGTGCTACTGATTAAATGTATACATTATATATATATATATAGGTATATGGAAATAAAAAATTAAAATTGTAATGAAAACGAAGGAAATTGCAGAGGATTTGGAATCGAACAGGTAAAAGGAGTGTACAGGTGGGTTTGTGTGCCCAAGGGGAAACCTATTTGTAAGAGAACAATTATAGGGAGGTGAGGGTCTCTACATTTAGGTTCGCATATTCTTGTGGAATTGGAGTTTATGACTATGACTTGTTTAAGTGGTCAACCTCATTTTTGCTCATCATCGAGTGTGAAACTATTCAATAATATAGAAAAGAAAAGTTCCAAACTCGAGACGTATGAGTAAAAATTTAACACCGTATTCAATAAGGTACTGGTTCACATGCAGCTCATCACCTTATTAGTTATAAGAGCGGTTAGACCCACCTTATTGTCACGTTTCCCCAACTACATAATAATCTCACTCACCATATAAAGTTAAAAATTTGAAATGTTATTTCCTCACCCACTATTATTCCTAAAAAAATTGGAATGCTATTTGCTCAATAACAAAGTCTCCTCCAACGATGATCTACTAGCAAATGAATGACCCTTCAATTGCTCTGTTGTTGAGCGATTATGCAATCTAATAATATTACCATCAGTATCCAATCAACATCGGTTGCTAGCTTCTTACTCTTTAATATGTATCTTTTGTGAATTTGGCTCACGTATTATCCATTCATTTCACAACTTAATGTAAGTCTAGAGCTCCTGTTACATTTTCGCACCCAACCTATTATTATTTTTTAAGGTATTTATCGGTTATTTTACAAATGGGCAAACTTATAATAAAAATTTTATTAAAAAAAATGGATAGAGAAATAAAATACTGGCTGGAAATAACAGCACTATTTTTATTTATGACATAATAAATTAATTTTAATTCTCTTTATAAGTCATATTATATAAGATGGACCTACACAATTCTCTTGCATTTAAAATTGAAGAGGAAAAGTTTGTTTTTTTGAAATACCATTTTGGTCCTGTATTTTGCTCGGATTTTTATTTGGTATCCGTCTTTTTAGTTTGAGGAGTTTATCATTGTGTTTTATGTCGTTAATTTTTCTCTTTAATCTTTTTTGCTTAATTTGACGTTAATTAACTCTAATATATGATATGAGCTCTTATTGTGCCATGCATGTATGAATAGCTACTATAGTAATATGTATAAATTTCATGGATTAATATTCTTAATCATTGTAATTATAATGTAAACGAAAAGAGACTGAGGTGTTGAACATTTTCCATACATAATCCATTTTGTACCCCTTTTAAAAGATAATATTTGTTACAACAGACTCTTATTGTGGATGTGAGAACGTTATATATTAGCTTTGCAGAGGACAATTGCATTTTTTATGGAGCATTATAAGATGAGTAGTTGTCATTAAGGGAAGAGGATCCTCTCCAGATCTACTTTGTGGGGATCCTAGGGATTCCTATATTCTAGCCGTTCATTATACATCGTGCGGTTAGTTTTTATCAAAGTGAATCCAAATGAGATCCAATTCCGTCATTAAGCTCCTTGGTTGCGTGTAATTATGTTATAATAATCTCAGGGGACCTTTTTTCTTTTTTTGTGGCCCTTCAAGCTTTTTTCAAACTAAACTAATCTTCACAAAAAAAAAAGACACTAAACTAATAAAAGTAATATGCAAACAAATAATTACATAAAAAACAAACTAAACTAATCTTCACCAAAAAAAAAAAAATCACTAAACTAATAACATTAATATGCAAACAAATAATTACATAAAAACATATTAAATTGTTGTACGTCTATTTGACTAAACTGTATTTAGAACTAGTGAGGGACAGAAGACGGCGGCAAGAGAGATAAGAGAGAGATTTAATTGTGAGATGTGTGTTATATCACCCCATTGTGTCTTTATTTATAGTACTAGGGAAGGTAAATTCCTTACCTCTATAAGATTACAACTCTAATAGGATAATATCTAGTCTAAGAGATATGGTAAAATCTCATAAGGATATAGGTTAGGATTTATACAATCACATTCCTACTCTAATAGGACTGCAACACTCCCTCTTTAGTGTGTAAATACTCAAACAAATGGCGCATCAAGTCTTCAACAATGAAGTTCAATTGATGGAGTCGTCGGCACAATGAGCAAATGCGAGTCTTAGATCAACGAAAGAATGCATAAAAGGTAAAATTCACAAAAGCTCGCTATGGTAAACCCCAATGTGGGATAAAAACCCATAAACTAAGGAGAAAGGTGAGAAGTTGCATTAAGTAAAAAATATACGCCTTCTGAACGTAAGTAGAAGAACTCACAAGGGTATGACCAGGCCAAGATGGGTGCCTCGTCAAAACCTAGTTAGGTAGCAAAAACCCAGTGGGAAAAATGCTCCTAATCGTAGGGAAAATAGTACATTAAGATCAAGTGAGTATACTTCTGGATACTCCCCCTGAGTTTAACAGAACTTCCAAATGAGAACTATAAGCATTGCATATGAATAGTTAGGCATACCAATTCCTCGGACAAGTTTTTAGAAGGTTGACTTCGGCAGTGACATCGTGTAGAGGTCGGCATGGTTATCTGGGATCAGCTTGCATGACTTTAATCTCATGATGCTTTGTTGATGTTTCATGTCTTGGTCGAGTTGATATACGACATAATCTTCATGGATCGTCATCAGGACTTAACGATGGATGAAAACAGCAAGTACTTAGAATATGTTCAACAAGAGTTCTCAACCAAGTCTCATGTGTGGCATAATGAAGTAAGGTGAGTCTTCGAACGATTTGAAGATTTCGCAACTAAGGTCATGTCGTGGACCTCCAAGATATTGCGATATCCTTAAAGGTAAAGACATAACCATTTGGGAATATGCCTTGTCCGGGTTTGATAAGTAACCAAAGTCAGCATAACAAATAAGGCAAGCATCATTTCGAGGATCAGAAGGGTCAGATCTGCTCGAGATACTTTGAGATTAGCCCAAATCTATAGCACCTTTCAGGGTAGCGGAAAAACATCTTTAATACAAATTCAATGATCGCATGTAGGCGCGGTGCTGCATCTTTACCAATAAATCAATAGCGAATGAGATGTCCAATCTAACACAATGAGCTAAGTACAACAAAGCGCAAAGTTGAACTTAGATATTGAATTTCGGATTCCATAACCTCTTCAAGGGTCTCATTTGCATATAGCGTATGGAAGATCATAGGTATACTCAAAGGTAACACATTCGGGGTGTAGTTTGACTAGTAAACCAAAGTACCGTCAGAACAATGCTTGAACTTCAGTTCAAGGTATAAACAAGTTTTCCTAATATCCTTCATCTCAAATTCCATCTTCAAGTGCAAGACAGTTTTCTTAAGCAGTTCTAGAGTCTTAGTGAGATTCATGTCACTAACATAAACTGTAACTCTAGCAATTTAAAATAAGCACGCAAGGGCATTCATTCACATCCCTGACTAATCAAATAATCACTTAGATGGGTATACCACATCCGTCGGATTGCTTCAATCCATAAGTGAACGCCTTAAACAAGTTGAGAGGCTGTTATGTAGTCTAGAACTATTTGAACCACTACATGTAATTCTTCAGGAACTTACATATCAATCTTTGTATCAATATCCCCATGGAAAAACATTAACCATATTTCATAATGCTGATATCAATCATAGGGCATTTAAGAGAAATTTTACGCCGTAACACATGCATCATATCGCACTTTTTGGTTCATCTCATTACGTTTATTTTCCCACTAGCAACACAACAGGGTTACCTTGGGCAGGGTAGGAACGTAGGTCCAAACACACTTTGGTAAGAAATTTAACATATATTGCAATTTCGGTTGTCCAATCAGTTCTGCATTGTCACTAATCAACGAAACACTATTTGATATCGTTGCCTTTCATTTATGTCGGTAGCTACCATACAAATGAAAACATTATCGATGATAATCTCATTCCAATTCCATTTCTCATCCAAACTAGTATACTGGACCAAGAACTTCAAGTCTCGGGAGTAATCCGGATTAATCTCATGAGATGGAAATGATTTGAGACAACGATCGAGTATGGATTCATTGTTGTGTCGTGATCTTCCTCTTCTAGGGAAGTGAATCCTATGAACCGAGTAATCTGTCATGCTTCAGACTGAGACAAATGGATTGGCTATTTACCGGTGTACTGAACCGTCCAACAAGGTCGGCACACCATTTAGGGATGTTAACTCAATGTCCTTTATGTACGTTTATCATTGCAGGTATGTTTGCAGCTGGTATATGATCTCGTCACTTTAGCTAAATTAGAGGAATGCGTCTAGAGCAACATTCTGAAAGCTAAAATTCATCGCACTTTCTTATCACACTTGTGCAGTATGGGGATCAAGATGAGACATAGTGAACAACATCCACGAAAATTCGCGTCGTTTTACAGGAGGGTTGACATTCTTATCTCCCCCTAACAGCGGGAAAACTGTCTCATTGAAGTGACAATCCGCAAATGAGCAGTAAAGAGATCACTTGCAAGGGCTCTAAGAGAGTTATTATGAAGGAAAATCGTAATCGACAAAGATTCACAACCTTCTGTGAGGACCCATATTGGTATGTTGCGGCGACGCAACTTGGCGAATTGAATGCACACCCAAAACGCGTAAATACAAAGCATCAGGTTCGTACTCATTAACCAATTGTAACTTCGAAAATGGTTGGGTGGCAGTGGGTCTCAAGGCAGACCAACATAGATGTATACATGATTGCATAGCCCTAGGTAGAAACCGAAAACTTGGTGCATTCACCAAGGTCCACACAATCATTTAAATTGCTCTCTATGATCACTATGCGAGGCTGTTTTGGGGTGAACATGGGAATTCGATGTTCAATTATAAACCTAAAAGATATGCAATACTTTATCAAAAATCGTCGATATAAACTCTCCGGCATTATCCAGTCTTTTAGACTTTATAGGATAATTAGGGTGGTGAACCTTTAAAATCGGCCAGGAGATTTAGCAGCAATGTGTGTGGACAAACATATGACCAGTTTGTCGATTCATTAACCAAAACCATAAGTATTTATATGGTCCACAGTTTGGTTGGATTAGTCCACATATATTCCCTTGAATCCATTGTGAAAAAGGGTCATTTCGTATCTTTGCTAGGGATGATTTAAAAAATCAATTTCTTC